AGATAGCTTTTGTGATGCATATTCAAATTCTTATGGCAAAAGTAACAGCCTACCGAACGATAAACGTGTATTTGCCTTAATGTCTTTCACAAGGTGTTCAACAACTCCTCCCTGTCTTTCATTCCAGGTTATTTGCTTCCATGTTGCTAATGCTAATGTCAAGGAAAGATAGCTTTTGTGATGCATATTCAAATTCTTATGGCAAAAGTAACAGCCTACCGAACGATAAACGTGTATTTGCCTTAATGTCTTTCACAAGGTGTTCAACAACTCCTCCCTGTCTTTCATTCCAGGTTATTTGCTTCCATGTTGCTAATGCTAATGTCAAGGAAAGATAGCTTTTGTGATGCATATTCAAATTCTTATGGCAAAAGTAACAGCCTACCGAACGATAAACGTGTATTTGCCTTAATGTCTTTCACAAGGTGTTCAACAACTCCTCCCTGTCTTTCATTCCAGGTTATTTGCTTCCATGTTGCTAATGCTAATGTCAAGGAAAGATAGCTTTTGTGATGCATATTCAAATTCTTATGGCAAAAGTAACAGCCTACCGAACGATAAACGTGTATTTGCCTTAATGTCTGTTACAAGGTGTTCAACAACTGCTCCCTGTCTTTCATTCCAGGCTATATGCTCCCATTAGCAAATGCGTGTTATCTTGTTTGAACAAAAGTTTATAAAAAAATACACACTATTAAAACACACCTCCATGTATCCTCGAAACTTTGTTTTGAATTATTCTTAAATTTATTTAGTTTGCTTTCGTTACAACCAACATTAACAAGAAGGAAACACTGTGCGAAAGAAATGTAGGCCATACTAGTGCACGCGCCAAAATCAAGTGCGCTAGCGCCGCTACAAAGACTATGGGTGTAAGAATTTGTTTAATTTGCAACTATTTAATTAACAGCATAGAACAGCAAAGTATTTTTTAATTACATATAACTATGTTCATCTAATACTTGAAATCCCTGTAAAGGGGGATGTTTAGAGGGTATTCAAGCCATTGGGCTAGGGAGGGAGATGTAGCCCCCCAACGTTTGGATTTTTCGAAAATCAACCCCAATCAGATAAAAATCTTCCCTTAGTCTGGCAAAATTTCTTGTAAACAATAGAACTTTTGTAGGGCAGCCCTCGTAGATTTTTTCTTCTCGTACGCTTATGGCTTTACAGGCGACGTGTGGAAAATGAAAAGCGGTCTGAAAAAATCTCTTTTTACAAGAGATATTGAATAACTTACAAGTTTTTCCCCAAAGTCTTAATGTTCAACATATAACGGAGCTGCAGAAATATATGCAGTTGTATCAATATAAAAAACAGAGGGCAACAAATAAAACAATATTTTACTCTGCCGGAAAATACAGTCTTAAAATGAACGGAACTCAC